ATGTATAATCACATAGTTATATGCTGATTTTATCTTCATTCATTGTAACATAATGTGACGTCAGATACACATGTTGGGAATGACGTAATATATTTATTTGTCGTGTTTAATGTCACTACAAATGTCAACTGCGTGTAGTATCTGACAATCAATATAAAAAGGTACACGCGAGACATCTGTAATCCCGATGGCATTGGTGTGACAAACGCATTTACAATTGGGGTTTGAATTGAGCATAAAAACTAGTATACGAGTCAACAATCGCACACTTGATTATCGCTCAAACATATAAGGACTAACATCATTTCTATAACCGTCGCATGCAATATAACCGCAACATTTGGCCTAATAGCACAACGAATAATCCTTAATTAAATTGCAGCTTGTTCCAAACTCAACATTATTAAACAATATTCGTCCAACTCAAAGTGAAAAGAAAACACTCATACGTATTTGCAGTGATAGTAATTATGCGCACCGAAACACGTATACACGTGTGTTTCATTAAATGAATACGTAGTTGTATACTATAAGAATAACAGCCAATGGTAAATCATAATCAAAAGTACTCCAAAAGTATCACTAAATAAATCTTTGTATCTGTATTGCTATGTTCTAGTAAGAGAAACACGAAATCATTATGATATGTTATTTCATGCGTCATAATGATATATATCCCGCTGATAATACATGAGTACAATTGCGTAAAATTAGTTCGGAAGTGGGTATTAGAGATTCCTGAAATGTCCCAGTAAGTACTGACCTAATACAACGTAATATACAATGTATATTTCTTACCGTATCCGGGTTTGCCGTCACCACTCCCAATGCAGACACGAATATTATTAAATACAACATTTTGGTAGTCAGAAACACTTCAGGTCTACGCTGCACAAGTTTAATGACTGCGTGTAATGTAATGTTACCACATATTGATATTTGATTTATGCAAATAGGGTAATATGTATATGGTGTTCTATTGGTCAATGGAAGTACATGTGATAACTATCTATGAATATTCATCATCATCATATTAGCACGTTCACTCTTAACACGAGAACACATGGCATTCATTTGCATAAGCGTTTGTATAATCATAGACCTTTTCTAAGGTCTATGGTATAATTAGTTGATGTAAGCAGATATCCTCATCGCTATACATATATAGGAAGTCACGTGGTTGATATATAGATAGGAGACCCAAGGGGTATAAATAAATATGGATAGGCGACAATGGCAATGTTTAGTTTAATATGACGAATCCAAAATATTCGGTAAGCCAGATGGCTGTCAATACATGTGAATGAATGAATAAATCATTTATTTCAACAAATATATACAATTATAACTGAGAGAATCACACTGAGCGTGAAAATAATTTGCAAACATTTTTATTTTTTGCGAGTAGCATAAATATTTCGTATTTATGTCACAGCGCACTGACCACCAACTTGACAGCTTTCTGTAGCGTGTATTAAATGTACACTTGTGATGTCTAGTGAGACATATGCAGTTCGATTCTCCGAAGTCAGAGAAAAAATAATATAATTCTGCACATAAATAAAGTCTAGTGTATTCATG